CTACACACAAACAACAACAACATTATTGACTGTATGATCAGTAACAGATGAACAGATCGCCACTGGGCTTTCAACTAAAGACACAGCCACGCAAAAACTGCGGCATGTGTACAGCTCCTTATGGGTATTGCAATTTGTGAAGTCCCGGCCCGGAGCCGCGTTCTGGTGCTCTCCGTTAGAACTACACTCCTGTCAGACGAGACATATACCACGTGATGACACGTTAGGCTCGTGTTGTGTTCAAGGACCCTGACCTTGGCCAGGAAAAACAAGCTTGTTTAATTATTTTGCGGTCTAGATTTCTTGAATTTTTTTCTTTTTTGCGTGTGTTTATAAATTACCTCGAGGGCCGTACCAAATGGTCTCAAGGGCCGTATACGGCCCGGAGGCCGGAGGTTCCCCACCCCTGCACTAAATGGTAACACTTGAATACGTTGTGCAAATATGCAACTTGTTTGTTGAAATGTTAATAAATGGGAGCTTCCTCAAACAGCCATCTCTTTCCCGACAATCCCCTCTGTGCACGAACCCTTACATATGGTAATTAAACATTAAAACACCTGCGGCTTATAGTCCAGTGCGGCTTATATATGTACACATCATTCAATTTAGCTGCTGCGGCTTATATTCAGGTGCGCCTTATAGTCCGAAAATTACAGTATATATCATATTCCATGAACTTGTATATAGACTCTTCTTGCACTATTTATATTCTATTTGTATTTACTTGCACATCTCAAAACATTCTCTTGCACTATTTCATCTGTTTGATTTGTTCTATGTCCTATATATATCCATGCTGCTCTGTTGGAGGAGCCTGGGACTGCCATATCTACACTGCAGCTGCTGACATGACAATAAAGCTTTGAAACTTGAATCTTACATTTTCCTGGTCGCCCATATCAGGCTTGTGCCACGTCTCGATGGTGATGCTGAATTTGTCTTTCATGTAGACGTTCTGTAAACAGCAGAGAGATACAGGATAAGATCAGCCAACAACAACATTAGGATGAATTACAGTTTGTAAACAGGCATGAGAAACATTATGTGCATAATCAGGCCTCTACATATCCATAACATCTTACCAAATCAATTTCATTCAGGGATTCTTCTCCCTAAAGTCATAACACTTAGTTAAATAAACTAATACTATACTCACAGTTAGGACTGCATCAGAGGGAAGGGTGCAGGGCGATGAGAGAGAGGACAGAAAGAGAACGAGTTATTAACACACACACAGAGCTGGAGTGTGTGTTTACTGTAAGAAGCGCAGATAGTGAGTATGTGTTTCTCACATTGTGTGTGTGTGTGTGTGTGTGTGTGTGTCTCACCTGTTTTACAGTAAGGGTATGCGTTCCACGCCTCCTCGTGAACCACCAGAGAGTCTTTGGGAGCGAGCTTCCTGATGATCCCCGGCACTTTACTGCACACACACACACACACACACACACACACACACACACACACACACACACACACACACACACACACACACACACACACACACACACACACACACACGTAATGAAACCCACTCCTTGATCTTAATCAACTTTTGTATAGGATAAATTATACTTCATTAATCCCAAATTGTGAAATGTTTTTATAAACAACTAAAGAGTGAAAAGATGCAAGATGATTGAATAACTATGTAAACTGACAAAAATCAGACGAATAAAACACAACCGACGGCTAAATGACAGCTAACACAATATAGAAGTAGAATATTATTTACACACCTGTGCAGGTGGTAGATCTTGTGGGTGTACTGTCCCTTCTCCCCATCCTTCTCATACGGCTCGTTGGCTAAAACCTCGACTCCTTCTCCCCCTCCAGTCTCATTCTTACTGGCCTCTGCTACGGCGTACAGCTGACCCACCTGGTACTGCAGGGACACAAAGGGAGAGAGGAGGGTTAGCATTCATACAATCAGGAATTCAATCAGAAATCAAATCAATAAAACCATTCCAGTTCAGAGACAGAATCCTTCTCTATGTAAAGGGAGTGTTCAAGAAACAGCTGATTAATGATGGGATTGCAGAACGAATCCCCCCCTCCTATAGAAGGTGTGATGATTAACAAGCAGAGTTATGTCGCCCCCTAGTGGCCAAACCTATCCTGTTGTCATGAGGTAAATCCAAAAAAGAAGATCCCTGACTGAAGGGGGAACAACTTAATTTCTGCACTTTATAACTTGCTTATATCTGGCTCCCCTGACTCCCCCGAAGCTAAACTTAGAAATTGGAGGGAGGATTTGAAGGAAGGCATTTAAATTGATGAGTGGGAAGGTTCCTGTAAGAAAGGTCAATCACAAACAGCGAATAAACGTCTTAAGCTCTTAAAATAGAAACCTTTTTATTTGTATTTATGTGACTTTGAATGTACTTCATTTTGTTTTCTTTCATGTATCCTCTTGAGACCCAGAAAGATGTGGATGTTTGTGTACTGTCTTATATATGGTGTATATACAGTATGCTAAAAACAATAAAGAAAGTGTTTAAAAATATATATATATCCCTTGATCCCCGCGTACAGCACATTTAGATGGAAAACTATTCGTTGTTTTCTATTTCATATCAGAAGAAGATTTTTTTCTTGATGTAAACAGAGCTAAAGGGACTTATTTTAGATTTTTTTAAACACCTCCCTAGCTTCTTAGCTCTTTCTAAACTACGTCTGTGGTACAGATGTCTCCCTAAAGTGCTTATGTATTCCTGAGAAGACTACTGTATTATTATATGTGGAAATACAATCTAATTAACTTTATATTAAGAGCAATACACCTGTATACAAACTGTAATATATACTAGTTATATAATGTAGGACAGTGTGCACGTTTTACTTTAACCTATGTTTGTATAGATATATCTTTTTTTATAAGATACATTTTATTGCAGGCTTTTTTTTTTTATATGAAAAAAAAAATGTAATTCCCAAATTCGAACATTTTTAGATATGTTTAATTTGTATTTAATTCTTAAATGGAGCAACTGTCACAAAGCGCAATTTCCTCCGAGACAAATAAAGTATCTGATTCTGATTATAACCCAGGTGATATTTTCAAAGAAACCTGATGACCTCAAATGAACCATGTATGGACATTGGTGTGTTCTGTCGCCCCCTAGTGGCCAAAGCACGTTATTAATTGTCAAAATCTAGAAATGTCACTTGCTTCCTGTGTGCAGCAAATTAAGTAGGAAATATTTCTTATTTTCTTTTCTGAATTAAAAAAAACCCTCTTTTCTTGATATATGCTTTAGGAACAAAGCAAAGGGACAGATTTTAGTTTTTTTAAACACCTCGCCAGCTTATGTGTTGCACTTCTTAGCTTAACATGTGCTAGAAAGATATTTTAGATGATTTCTTATAAAAAATGTAATAGATTTTTAAATTGCGATATCAATACACCACTGTCAATGCATACACATGTACTATATTGTAGAACAATATTCCCATGTTTTAAATATATTATTATATATTTTATGAGACTTTATACTTTAACTACTTGTGTCCGTATAGGGGAGAAGGGGGTAAGTTGAGCCAGTGGGTAAGTTGAACCACCCCCTGTAACCAGGCAACACCTTATAGTTGTAATCAAGTGACCAGAAATTATGCAAGCTCCATCCATTTCTCATTGCCTGTGAAAAGAGAGATCCTCATTGTGGTCTGGTAAGTAAACATTTTTACAAAAAAACGTTTTTTGTTTGTCAAAGTAAATGTTCTAGATGTCAGCTATATCGGTTGTCATGTCAAAAAAAAAGGTATCCAGGTTTAAACACATATGTTGTATATGTTGATGTGTTGGCAGCGTATTAAACCATGTGAATCATTAAGCTAAAGATGACTCTGAATTTTAATGCTAGGCTATTTTTTCTAAAATGGTGGCTAAAGTGAACCATGGGCCTTGGGGTAAGTTGAGCCAGTTTTTCAATGGAGAAATGAATGGAAAGTAGGTCAAGTTGATAATAAGAGCTCATTGTAGGCTACATTTAAAGTTGAATTCACCCTGTGTTTGATTGGTAAGATGTATGAAATTGTATCACCATTTGTATGATTACTTTTCCTTTTAACATGTTAAAAAAAAATCAATCAATTCAATCGAAATGTATATTAAAAATATTTGAAAAACTAAGCTTGTATTTGGTTTGTTATTTATTGTTTATAGTTACCTTTAAGATGTGTTGTAGGTATGCCCAGGTTTGAACAGTGGTTCAATTTACCCCCTGACCTTTTTTTTTTAAGAAGTAACATTTTCACTGCCCTTGATCAAATATTAATTATTATCATTGCCATTGATAGGAGACATCCTGAATTATAGGTGTGTGTTTTCATTTTTACTATGTGTCATTTCTCCTTGCTTAGAGGACAGCATACTTAAAAATGGCTCAACTTACCTCACTCTCCCCTATGTAGATTATTTGTACAGCTTGATAGTCTTTATGCTAAAATACGCTAACAGACTTTAGCATTATATTTTACGGTCAAATGCGGGGGTGGTATTGATCCTCTAATCCAACCCTCAACCGGAGAGTGAAAACAATCCTATTAAGCAAACACATGGTCCCACAATATATGCTGCTGTAGATAATCAATAAATTATAGAAAATAAATAAAAAATAACTTTGTTCATGTGGTCTTTAAGGTGAATCGTCCACATGTTCGTCCATTCATCAAGACCAAGCAGTGAGTAGAAATGACTGTAAAGAAGAGAGACAACAACAAAGAATCAGTGGTTGTTGACTATTGTTTGACATCACAAATATTGCTAATGAAAGAGAATATTGAGATGGTTTTTCATGGTGGTGCAGACCTGCAGGAAGTGGAGGTCATCTTCAATCTGTGAGAGCTGCTCTATCTCCGTGTTTCTGCTCTGCAGCTCCGAGATTTCTTCCTCTAGTTGTTTGATTAGCTGTTTATTTTGTGCCCATGCCTCTTTTGGATTTCCTCCACCGAGGTCTAACGCTTGAACCTCCTCAACTTTACTCAGTGTCTCTTCAATCGCTTGCTGAAGTTTCATCCTTCTCCACTTTAGTTTGACCTGTCAAAAAACAAAACCGTTATTCTAAGGTATGCAAGACAGATCTGCGTTTACATCAGTGAGAACATGTCAAGGATTTAATTTGGAGCTCAATGAGTAATTTATGTTAATATCCTTTTCAAAGATGCTTTTGTGTTTGTTTTGTGTGAACTTGGGACGAAATTATGTTTGAATTAATTGTCGTGCCAGGCTACTTTTTTGCATTTGTTTCACACAATCAAGACAAGATTATTTTTGTTTAAAGTAAAGATTTCTGTCATAGAAGTGGTCAAACACCGGTGGCATTACGGGAAAAATGTTTGCTTAGCTGCCTTTTTTTTTAGACTCTACCTTCTTCTTTGTAGCTTCCTTGCTGATAGAAAGGATGTGATGGCCCCTGTGTTCTGTGTGGGCGCACATGGAGCAGATGCATGTTCGATCACTCCTACAGAACCTGTTCAACTGCTTCCCATGGAGCCTGCAGACAGAGTCCTCCAGGTTCTTCACCACACTGATCAGAAGATGGCGCCCAAGCTCTTCACTCCGGTAGTGCGGCTCCAGATGAGCGGCACAGTACGAGGCCAGGCACTTCACGCAGGACTTGACTGCTCTGTGTTTCACTGGGCAGAAATCACACAGAACCTCTCCAGCTTTTAATGGCAAATCTCCCTCTTTATTCAAGGCACCAGCATGCAGTGTTTGGTCTGTTTTGAGCTGTGGCCTGCTGGGGAAAAAGGCCTTGCAAAGGGGACACTGACAGGCCTTGCTGATCCTCCAGTATTCCCCTATACAGCCCAGGCAGAAGCAGTGTCCACAGGGGAGGGAGGCGGGCCTGCTGAACTCATCCAGACAGATGCAGCACCGAGGAGGCTCGGACATCACACTCTGCATGTGTGTGTTCGTAAGCATGCAACAGGACGTCTGATGTGATGGTGTATCAGCAGGCACAGATGATGGTGTATTCCATTGGTTGTTGATTTACGGTATCTGTACAGTGAACAAATGTGTGTTAGCATATACATGAGAAGGTTTCTCTTATAAACACTTTTGCAATGTACTTTTCATTTTGGTAGAATTTATTTTCAACTTGGTAATGTTACCTGCTCCTCTAATCATTTTGAAGTTCGAAAGTGTTTGAACTCATGTAATGCTTGACAACACTGCTGCTGTAACAAAAATCATTTCCCAATTTGGGAGGAATAGAGTATCTATCTACAGCAGATAATGTTGATTACCTGACGTTGTGGATGCTTAAAGAGGTTATTTTCACTCTTATCGAGGCCAGAAGTAACACACTAGTGTTGGAGGACACATTATATAGAAATACATACTGTAAGAGGAAATAAATAAATGATATATGCGTTAGTGTTATTTTTGTATTGTTGGTAGATAAAATTGTTGTGAAGAAACTATGTCAAAGTCATGTGGTTATTTCCAAAATATTGCACACCCCCTGGCCAAATTAAAATCAAGATACAGATTAAGATTAGTTCAAGAGAGCAATTTTATTGTTACATATACAGTCAAAGTATTCACAGTAAAAATATATTTCCGGTTGTTTATTTGTCATTTGACTTTTTAGTGTAAAAGTGAAACTGACTCTTAATGTAAATGTAGTATAAACAATGTAGTAAACTAAAGTAATAGATAATTGATCAGCCCACACTGTCACTNTTTCCAAAATATTGCACACCCCCTGGCCAAATTAAAATCAAGATACAGATTAAGATTAGTTCAAGAGAGCAATTTTATTGTTACATATACAGTCAAAGTATTCACAGTAAAAATATATTTCCGGTTGTTTATTTGTCATTTGACTTTTTAGTGTAAAAGTGAAACTGACTCTTAATGTAAATGTAGTATAAACAATGTAGTAAACTAAAGTAATAGATANTATCAGCTGGTTCCTCCTCTGTAGGTAGACACACCTATCAGTGCTGGGAAGCAGGGCTGTCCTGTTGGACTCTGTCATTTCCTGTACACTCATAAACTCACGTGATTAAGCAGGTGATGTTTACTCAAAAATGTAGCCGTAACTCCAAAAAAGGGGAACGAAAAAACAAGAGAATCTTAGTAATAATGCAACGAGACACTATTCTCCTGAAGGAAGTCAAAATGTTTTATAGAATGACGTAATAATGAAAGAAAACTACTTTTGTCATGCATTGGTGCTGTTGTGAAATCAGTTATGATATACTGTAGTTGATTACACATTCATCCAAGCTCTGTTGGTGCACATTTTTCACGTGAATTAACTATTCGCTAACACCTTTCTCTCACTAGTCGTGGAAGTAGTAGTACTAGAAGTTATTGTCAACATCCGATTGGGGTTTTATTAGCCCACGAATCAGTCTTGTCCAAGTGATGAGCAGCAGCTGAGACAGGTCTTTGATGATGTTCAGAAATATCGGATAATCCTCCCGCATTGATGCCATTGCGTGATGACTTTATGGGTTCTCTGAAGGGGGAAATGCGATCAATATGCTAAAACTTATATTTCTTGTGATAAGAATAGCGATCATGAAACAAATGACATGGAATTGGCTAAAAGATAATAACTTAATAAACTCACAATGGATTAACCTAATAATTGAAATCTATGGAATGGAGAAAACAAATATGAGAATTAGAAACCAAATGCATAACTTTGAGGAAAGATGGGAACAATGGGTAAAGTGTAGAACACTATAATGAAGACTTATAAGGAACATACAAATTGACATACTGTATACCTGAGTGTTAATATTGTTTCCATTCTTTTATTTGTATTATTATTGCTATTATTATTATTTCATTTCGGATTTGTCGACTGTTATGTAATTAATTCATATATCTATATGTGTTTATTTTGTCATGTCTGCTTTGTGAATAATTTCTTAAAATTCAAATAAATAAAAAAATGCTAGAACATAACATTTGTAGGTCGAAAAGAGTCCAAAAGTTAGATACATCTTGAGAATCAGGCCAATGTTTATGGCTGTTTAGAATACAATGAGTCCGTTGCGCATGAATGAACTTGTAGATTTTTTTCCTGCATCACATTAGTACATTTCTGTATTTCAAAATCAAAACCAAAAGAAAAACAGCTAAAGTATTTGTAAGAATGACACACCAGATTGTCCATGGTTCTTCAGTATTTTCCAAAGGACTGAACTACCTCTCACAAAAACATGATATGCCTACGCTGTAATTTATCGCACCACAAACAATGCAATAATCATCACTCATGACGAGAAGAGCTCTGAAGGCGCCTTGGTTACTGTAAGTGGGTGTGGTCAAGAGACATTTTACTGAAATGAAACTGTTTTTTTCAAGAAAGACAAATACTGAAATGTCTTCAAGGAACATTTATTGTTATAAATCATGAACTAACGTAGCAACCTTTGCCGCATCAATCACACTTGATTAAAAATCAACATGCAATCTGGAAATCTGGAGACTACACTTTCTTTAGATTTTATGAAATGTCATGCGGTTAGAAGCTTAGGTTATTATAGAAACTACGCGTGTTGATGTTCTTGCTGAGAGTTACATGAAAGACCAACTGTTTCAAAACCACTGTTATGTCTGAATGGTAAATATTGTAAGCTTAGCATAAGTACTGGAAACAGCTAGCCTGCGTCTGTACAAGTTCACTTCTTATAAATCATATTAGTTGTGCAAAACAAAGAAGAAATATTCTTGAACATACTGTAAAACCCCCATTTATGCTAAGCTAACTAACTGCTCTATCCTGTGTCTCAATTTTGGTTACTTTCATGATGTAGGCTACACTGTTAACTTGCTGGTAGGCCTATATACATTTCAAGCTAGCTAGCTAGCATTAGCGTTATCGTTTGCTGTACCAAATAATTATAGACCGCTTAATTAACCAAATAAACATACTGATGGCTTAAACCTGAAAACAGAAGTGGGGTATCTAGAGAAAAAATCAAATATGTGTTGCTTAACAACTGCCATCATTACTTGTTTCTCCCCTTTTGCTAAGTAGATGTTATGGCGACCATTAAGGGATGAGGAGTGTGAGTACACCTTCCCGCTACGCATAACGCAAAACAGTTTTCAAGTGAGAGAAAATTAAAATCAACATTAGTTTCAGATTTAGTGATGAGAGTTGTATTTTATGATGTATTTTTCCCAAAATGTCAAACTATCCTTTTAAGGCTTCATATAACTTGAACAGATATAATACGTAAGTTGTTGAATCAATATATTGTAGGGCTACACTATACATGTACATGTAATACATATACAGGATTTGATCAGAGCAAGTATGGCGGCTACAACATAACACAGTCAGTTTTCACTCTCATACATATTTTCAGTGCTGTTTTTACTGTCAAACGTTTCCTTAGCTTTGCTTGATCGGGCTCTTCTCAATCACAGGAGATATCACAATGGTATCAGAGGCTTTGTCGCAGCAGTACAGGTAGAAGAAGGGCAAGATCTTCTCTGTGAACGTATCTTTGAATGTGTAAATGTGGGTCAAAGCCTTCACATCATAAAAGGACACTTGCCCCTCCTCGTAGTCCACGTACACGCCCACTCGCTTGAGCTTGGGGTCGATGGCAAGCGGTAACGGCGGGGATGTTGACACACGATACCCCTGGCCTTTCTTCATGGCCAGAGCCCAGTAGCCTTGGGAAGTACTTATCGCAATTTTGCCCTTCCTGTTGACCGAAGACCTGGCCACACCCATGTACCAGTCGTCCTTGTCCCCCACCTGGACCTCCCAGTAATGTCTTCCTGAGGTGAAGCCCTCGCGGCCCAGGACGACGACCACGGTGTCGAAGCGTAGAGGATGATCTGGGAGGTCCTGCCATGCGCCCAGGTGTCTCACCTGATGCCTGTCCTGAGAAAGCTGCAACCAGGGGTTGGCGGACTCAGGGTCCAGGGTTACGTCCACTATAGAAACACGACACATAATGAAAGATTTATTTTGTTTGACAGTTTCAAGATTATGAAAAGAAAACCACACTGAGTGCCAAAAAAATACCTGTATATTTCAGAATCTTCTTGATCTCTGTAGAAAAACAGAACAAAACTATAAGATAAAATGTCCATCTTATCCTGGCGATGCTCTCAATTCACTCTCAAACAAAAACAGATCAAATCTGTATTTCAATGTTAAAGGAAATCGTACCACTTTCCGCCAGTTTGCGGATCATTTCCTTTAATGCTACCTCCAGTTTGGACAAAGATCTCCTGATCATGCCGACACACATGGCAGTGGGAACACTGGTCTCAGACCAGTCTTTGACAGAAGGAGGAGTGCTAAGGGCTGGGAAGCTCTACGGCGAGACAAAAGCATAGGACATGAAATAGGATTAGGTTAGTCAATACACAAATATATCCAGAACTTCTATTCAAAATAGAACATGTTGCAAGCCTGTACATATGTATTTGCAAAACCTTCAGTAATAATCCAATTTATTTGTAATTTGGAGTACTCTTTGAGGCAGCCTGCAGTACATTTTTTATGATTTGCCTTTGGTTTGCACTGCATTTTAGAACAGGGCACTGTTGTTTGAGCACAAATCAAATGGTGTAAGAAAAGTAAAGGAAAGGGTTTATTTTAGCAGCATATACTCCAAAACTATTTTTCCTTGCAATCGAAAGCTACCGTGTAACTGTAGCTCTTGTTCAATTTCTGAAATGTAGCATGAAACATACTGTAGATGCCAAACATCCCAACATTAGATGATTTGGAGTCCGAAGACAAGATCTTAAACCTTTAGGTGGTCGCCAACTTCTCTTTACACAACAATGCTCTTCCACCTTTAAGAAGTGAATGTGGTCTGTCCGAGCCACGTTTTCCAGGTCTGTGTTCCTCCTCTTCAGCTCAGCAATTTCCTGCTCCAGTCCAGCGATGAGGCCGTCAGCCCACCTCTCCGTCTGCCTCTGCTTCTCCTCTATGCCCAAAACCAGCTCGCCCTGAGTCTTATGGATGGAGCGAACCAGCTCTGAGACGACCTGCATGCTCTCCTCGACCTCCCTCTGAGCGCTGGCCTGGAAAATACACAATACACTGCTCAACGTTTGATAATAACCTTTGTTTAAATGCATCATACTGGAGTTTAATGGGCCATTCTGGCCCAATCCCAAACCACGCCCTACATCCTACCTCTACACCCTACCCCTACACCCATACGCCTACACCCTACGCCTACCCCTAGACACTACCCCTCCGTTTGCGCATTCGCGCGGAGGGTCCGCCACCTTAAGTGCTGTTCCAAACCAACGAGTGTGGAGCGGTGTGGAGAGGGAGTGGGCTATCAAGCCATGACCGGTCTCAACGCTGTGTGAGTCCATCAGGAACACAAACAGTTCCAGCAAACATCCACTGATAAATTGCGATGTTAACAACCTCATGATAACCTCATATGTTTTCACTTAGGATCATACCTGTGTTTAGTCTTAAATTAAAGATGTTTGGAGTTTTATTTTAGTTATTAATTTGTATTTTTTGTCAAAGAGATGCTGATTTGAAACCGTTGTTACATACAGTTAAGGCATTTCCTGTTTCTGCAGGAGAGAGGGGAGTTTGTCCCAAAGCTTGCCGCTGTATTTACTCCCTCCATCTGACAGGAGGGAGCCTCGTTGAGCTGTGAGTGTGGCTAC